TGCAGGGGGGGGGGGGGGGGGCAGGAACATTATGCACTGCACACCTGACTGTGTTGTGTGTGTGTGTGTGTGTCACTGCTACACATCAAAAATAGCCCCGTCTCCCTGGACCCCAGCAGCGTTACACACACACACACACACACTCCAGTGCCCCTGCAATCAATCATCACGACGCGGTCTTGTATCACACCGCCTGCAGTAAACACCTGGGGTCCAGCTCCACTGACACATTGTGTTGGGGTTTACATGCACGGTAATAATCCGTGAGTGTGTCTCTTCAGAGGGAGGTGAAGATCAGACTGGACAACTGAATGCATCAGCAAACCCGGTCCGGAAATGAGCCGGTGTATCGTTTCCCGTCCACGTCCAGGTAGCAGCCAGCACCTGTCGCTAGTGCACACGCTCACCTCGAAAATGCGAAATGCAGTTTACAGATCTGCTGAACACCACTCGGAGATTAATCTGGGATTAAATGGAGCACGACTTCTAAAGTTCCCATATTATTTTAACATGTGCTGCCCGGTGTGTTTTACGTATCCCGATGTTCATTGATGATCTTATTCGTTCGTTTCAAGTGTGAATTTATGCTTTGTGTTGCGTGCGATTGCCAAAAAGCACGAAATCCCTTTAGTGCTAATGTTTCTGAACGCAGCTTGGCTTCTTCACGCTTCCTTGGAAATTCAGAGCAACATTTCCCTGCGACCCCCGCACTGGAGGCACTGTCACCACCTCCTCTGGAACATGCACATGGATCCATAGTTCATTGTGCCAAAGCACACAGCCGTGAGAGCCAGACAAACATTCTGGAACCGCTGCCAAATAATTACACAAACGTATAATCGCACCAACTTTATCATCTGACCAAAGCCCCCCTGTCCACCTCGATCTTTTTAGATCATCACCTGATTAAACGACCAATCTGACCAAATTACAGGAGTCATAGGTGGGAGTTGCTGAACTTTGCAGCGCACCAACACCAAGCACGGAGATGCCCCGTTAAGACCACGGTGCTGTGGCCAGAATAGTGGAGTGGACGCATAAATGACACGGCTCCAACGCACTGCAGTGTTTCTACAAACGAGCATTTTATTAAACATCCGCTTAGAATCTGCCAGAAAAAGAAATTCAACTGTCAAATATCCAACCAGCCGAGAAATGCTTCAACTAAAAAGACAAGTTTGTCTTTTCTCTCCATAGATTTTAAAGCCAAACAGTCTGAAAGCAGTGGATCAGTGTCATAGTGACATAATATGACATTAGTGTTCAGGCCAAGTCCATGCGCTCAGAGCGGACCACGTGTACAGGTCTCCGGCACTGACAATAAACTTGGCTCAAGAATGCGTCAAAAGTTTCCAAAGCGCCTCTCTGCATACCAAATAATCCTCCCCGAGCAGGAACACACCGGCTGCTCTCTGCGTTCAGCACCAGCACAGGACATTTACTAGTTTTAATCCGTCAGGCTGCCTCATTGCCAATGGCCGATGACATTCCTCCAAAAACACGTGAAAGCCAGACGTTCTGACATAGTAGTCATTCACACAACCAACCACATGCACGCAGACCGAGGCGCCGGGTCGCGCCGTGGCGAGATGCTGCTGACAAGCCGGTCGAAAGGCTCACATCAGCCGGGCATAGCGTGCACCACGCCCGGCGTCTCGCAAGGCGCATCCCGGTCTGCAAAGCCCAAAGTCCCGTGCGTCCACAGAGCCCGGGATCTTACCTGGCTGCAGGAATTTTCTGTCAGGTAACTGAAGACAAAGGACGAGAGTTCCTCATCTAATAGTGGAGCGCAGTCCGCCATCTTCTAGTGAATGAGGAGCAGTGGAGTCAGAGCGGAGTATAGGAGGAGGAGGAGCAGTGGAGGAAGGCCGCCTGCAGGGGGCGCATTGTTTATACACAGCAAGAGAAAGTGTAGTCTGGGACATCCAGGGGTCAAGGCACTGGGTTCAGGTGGTCCCACGGCAAAATGAGGGTTCATTTGACTGTTACTGGATCAACTGTAAATGACACTAATTCACTACAACTTGATGATAATTACATACAAATATAGGCATTTGTTTGAATGCTAAAGAAGAAGGTATTTCAGGTTGAGTCGATTTTCAAATATCATATCCTGGATTTCATATGAATACATTGTGCATTTATGAGGTGTTTGAAAATAAAAACATTTGATTCTGTTCTTCAGCTACATTTTATCATTTCAGTGGAGAGAAAAGTGAAATCATAGCACAGCCACTGATTTTAGCAGCCTCCAACTCATACTAGTGTTTCACTGTACCACTCCCTCCGTTTGTACTGCAAGAGGAGTAACTCCTGTAAAGCAATCCGATGGCCGACAGGTTTCTCAGTGATTTCCTCATCTGTGGACGGTATTTATACACCACTAATGTCTCAATGTTGATTGACCACTGGTTAATAGTCATAAAACTCCATATGTATCACCTGTGATTAAGAATTCAACATTTTTGCTTATTGTTAAACCCAAATACAAACAAGTTCACATTAAACTAAATTGGTTTTCTTTCATTCCGAGCAACCTGTATCAGCCTGCCGGTGATTATTACAAATACAAAATACAAAGGACCCGGTCAGGACGGGAGTGAAGGCTTCGCGGCTCTAGTTGCACCACTCTGCCTTTGTTCTGACATGAAGGTCACCCTGCTGCTGTTGCTGGGCACTAGAAACACTGTCAGTCATTTACCTGGCAGAGTTGATGATGTAGCTAAAGAAAAAACAAATCTTCTATTTTAGTCACAACACTGTGAGCTGATGAGGAACACTGATTACAGACGTTTCCATTTTAACAGCATGTCAGACCTGATACATGCAGTGATGTGGGATGTTTGTTTTGAACGTTTGTTCACTCATCAGTGCTACAGGTGCTTCTCTAAAACGCTTTGGGAAAGTTGTTTGAAAAATGTAATCAGTTACTCAACACCTATTACACTACTTCACTAATAAGTTAACAACAAAAGTAATTAGTTACTTCTTCATTTATTTGCAACCCAGCACTGTCCCTTGGGCAGATACTGTAAATGAAAGGTCTACTAGAAGCTAAATCAAGCACCAGTTTGTCTAAACTCACTACATGTCCAGGGATTTTGCATCAGTCACCTCTGAGCTTCGTTCTGACAATAGGGCTCCAGTTTGCTTTACATCAACCACTTAAGGGTGGGAAACAGGATGATGTCCCTGTTCTGACAAGCCAATCAACCTTAAACCCGACTTGACACATAATATGGCTTTGTCTGAATTCAGGCACTAAATACTGCTAGTCAATGGTGTGGACACACTTTCCCATTGAACTGAGTAGGAAAGTGTGTCCACACCTGTGACTGGTAGTGTACATCGACGACTGATTGATGCTTTAACTTGAGCTTTGCCCTTCAGTGACAAATGCCAACGTGCAGCGATTGAAAACATTTTCACAAAGGGCATTTTCCACTGTTTAAATCCCATCCTGTGTGATTAGAGCTGCAGTTGTACTGCATTCCCCTGCAGTTGTTTCGTCACTTGATGGAGATGTCACATATGGCTCCTCCTTTGTAATGAAAGCTGAACATGCTTGAACTAAAACCGGGGCTGTCTGGCTTCATTTGCTGCTGCCTGTCAGAGACATTTGTCTGATGAAAACATTTGAGTGGTAAACTACTTCTGCTAAAAGAGTTTTGGATATAAAAAGTTCCATGACAGCGAGTCATGAAGCTTGCGAGAATGCCAGTGCATTGAGGATTGAATGAGATCCAACAGGGAGACGGTCGGCTTCACGTCAGCATCATGACACTTTAAAACACTTTAAAATGGGCTCTGTCAGAATTCACTCTGGTTCATTGGGGATTCATTAATTTTTCTTTACATGATATGAGTTCCAAAATACTTTATATTACATCATGCACTAAAATGATTACATGATGCAAACCTTTAGTGGAATATAAAATTTTATGGGGTTTTTATGGCGTTCTGTGCTGTTGTTGCATTAGAATATCTCCATTGTAGCTTCTCCCATAAGCAACTGATGTAAAGCAGAAGGGAAAATCAAGCATCAGTGACTGTAAAGTTATCACTGCATTGCAGCACAGGGCCTTTCTGCTCTGTGACTGTGTGTGCCTGTGTGTTTGTGTGTGAAAAAGGGTAACTGTCTGGGGCAGGTGATGGCCACAACAAGTCTGCTTGACTTTCAAAAGTCTGGCTGACCACAGTGACCCTTGGCTGGCCCTCAGCTTGAGGGTTAAGACTTGGTTTGAGGGTTCAGGTTAGAATCAGGTTTAGGTTAGGGTTAAGGTAAGGCATTTAGTTCTGATGGTTGATATCAGGGTAAGGGGCTAGGGAGTGCATTACGTCAGTGAGTGTCCTCACAAAGATAGAGGTACTGTACATCTGTGATCTGTGTGAGGACCAATTCATGTTTAAACTTAACTAAACTGCTTTTTGACATTGAAATCACTTTGTGTTATTTCTGTAGTTTTGACCATTGTTCATATCTGTCACAGTAACATACACAACGCACCAAAGTACTGTTAGCTATCTCACAGGTAAGGACAGTGAGTCAAGTCCGATTCGAGTCCTAAAAATGAGGACTCGACTTGGACTTGGACTTGAGTATTGACTGCATACAGACCCCGAAGTTGGGGATGAGGACTGACTTATTTTTTGTTATAGGCAATAGTAATTTGGTGTAAGATATTGATATTAAAACCTGTTCGCCCTGCACCGACCGTGCTGCATCTGGCACATTTCCATCAAAGTGTACACTGTTCACATTTAGGGAGTCTGTGTATGTGTGTGTGTGTGTGTTTGCTTATGAGAGTGTTTGTTTAGCTATTGTGTTGCACACTAATTAATCTCTTAAAATGTAATGTAAACCTTGATGACTCAGACTCAGGTAACAGGGACTCAACTCAGACTACTGTTTGGTGACTCGGGCTTGACTGAACACTGGGGACTCAAGACTCAAGGTTTAGTGACTCGACTACAAGACTGAGTAAGGACACACGAGCAGAAAGTTGAGCAGAGAGGTTTTAGATAAAAGCCCACAAGTTAGCAACATTTGTTTGAAGGAGAACCTGAAGGTTAGCGGTGAGATCACTATCCAAAGTGTTGAAAACAGTCTACGAACCAGCATCTTGTTCAAATGAACTTACTGTGCATTTTGAGTGTCACCTCTAAATCCAGTGACTAGATTACTTGTTTAAAACCCGTGTGACAGTCTGACAGATCAGATTGTTTTCTAGAATCCAGCCACTACTTTGGTGAGCACAGTGATTTTATAACTGATAGAAAAGACGTCTAACACAACAAACAAGAAATTCAAGTTGTGATTTACTAGTTAGTCTTTAAGGTTGGAGTAAGGTGCTCGCCATGAGTGTCCTCACAAGTATAGAAGTACAAGAAACAGACAGAGACAGAAAGACCAATCACGTGTGTTGATTTGTGCACATGTCTATGGTATTAACCAGCAAACTGAATTGGAGACCGTCATCTTCCTCTTCCTTTTGACAAGACTGAAGGTGTTAAAGAATAAATTTTCAGGCAGCAGCTTCACTTCTGAACCATCACAGTGCGTCTCAGGATTCGTCTCTGCCTGTAACATTGTTTAATGGGACCAAACGAAACAAAGTAACTGCTGCTCGTTAAACCAGTCAAACCTATTGAAGACAGGTGGTCATAAAATATCATAAACCACACCAAGGTGTTCTAATCCAATATAAATATGCAATATAAGAAATATTCATCTTTTAAACACCGTTAAACTCTTGTGAAACAGCCATCGGGGATGTATTTTGGATGTACTCTTCTGGCTCCATTTAGTTCTTCCTGCGTGAATAATTGGCCAAAATGTTTTGGTCAAAAAAATCAGTCAGTGTCTGGGACTCAAGGAGCAAAGGCTTCGCTGCAAGTTGGCATTCTGCACCAATGTTCAGCGGTCACACACAGAGAAATCCATCACATGCAACCACAGGAGCAGGAACACAGTTACACAACAAGTTTTGTTTTGAGAAAACAACAAAGTGAGTCTTACACTTTCCTTATTTCTGCATTGTTATGCAACAACAGCAGCCAAAAACAAGTTTACTTTAATCTAATGGAACACCTCACTTGAGTTGATTTCATAACCTACATATTGTGTGTATTTCTCAATCATTACACAAACATATTTTTCACAATACCAGAATCAGAATCAGAATACTTGATTATCTTAACTGCAGAAATAAGAGTTTAGCACAATCAAGGCTGGTGATGCTGATCTGAAACACTGAGGTGGTACAGTTCAGTAAATCCTCCCTGTTTTCAAACATGTACTAGAACCTGATATTCAGGCAAGTTATTATTATAGCTCCCACTCCTGTTACCTACAAGTACACAACAAGTACACAATAAGTGCAGTTTATCCAGCTGACTGATTCAGTGGATTTGCATTAGTCCATCATTTGTCAGAGCACAAAAATATTTAGGAATATGTGCCATGTAAACCTAATATAAATCAATTAAATCATTTCTGAGTGTGTGGAGATTTACCACTGCAGTGCGACTCAGCATATGTTCTCCTTCAGTGGTGGATATTACCAAAGTCATTCGCAGTCATCTAATTAACCCAAAACAATTGCTACAGTGCAGTGAACCTGGGACCTGTGTGGCCCTGAGGGTCTGGGACTTGGTGCCTGGTTTGCCACGTCATTAATCAACACACACCAAAGCAGCATGTTATTTTTGTTTTGTATGTGTACAGTATGTCTGGAGCTAAAATCATTACAGTTTGTAACAATTGGTAAAAATAGTAACCTTGCTCTATTTGTGAGGTTACTACTGGCAAGGTTGCAGGGTATCTGCAAGCTCTGTGGTGGCCTCAATAGCCAGCATGACTGGATTGCTCACATACTGTTCCAAGTAGGTGATCCAGTGATGTCCTTTTCTTATGTTACTATATTTAAAATTTATGTTTTCAGTCTTTAGCCATGCCTCTGAGCCAGAAGGAC